TGGATGGATAGGTGGGTGGATGGATGGATGGATGGATAAATGGATGGATGGGTGGATGGATGGATGGATGGATGGATGGGTGGGTGGATGGATGGGTGGGTGGGTGGATGGATGGATGGATGGGTGGATGGTGGATTAATAACTTGAATAAATCAGTAGATTTTGTGCTTTGTGATTTGGTGCTGTATGAATAAAATTGAACTGAAAACATACATCCTGAAGGTCCTGAACCTTTTTCGCTGTGAAATATTAGAATTTTGTCTCAGGGGTCCTAAAACGTCTCATTTAGATCAAGTAAAACAAGCAAGCAAAGCATGAGTTTACTGTCTGAGCTGTTCTGCTGTCAGTTTTCTGCCCACGTTTGGCTGGTTTCAAAGATTTGGTGTAATTCAGGTCTCACCTGCAGTCGCTGCCGCCAGCGCTGATCACATATTTATCATCGCAGGAGAAGCGGATGTTGGTCACGTGAGCCGAGTGGCCGAAGTAACGCTTGTGCTTCGCCTGGAAATAAAGACAGAAGGTGGCGCTCAGTGTGAGCTGAATCTTTCAGTGATTTCTCATTTTCGGAGCTCACTTACAAATTTTTCGGCGCAGGGGAAGTCAAAGAGCTTTATGAGGCCGAAGTCGTCTCCGGTCACCATGTTGACTCCAGCGTGAGAAACGCAGGCACAGTTAACGTCAGCCTTCTCGGCGTTACGAGGCCAAATGCCGACAACCTCGTCCCCCACGATGCTACGAAAACAGAAACGCCTCCGTCAGGTCGGTCACACCTGACATGAGCTCGGGAAGGTGGCAGCGTTTCTGGAACTAGTTCCTGTTTTTTATTCATGAAAAGTTCCTCCAGCTTTTCCTGAACCCATCCCAATTTGAATCCGTGCTTCCTGTTTTTAGTTCAGGACTCCATGGCGACCCAGGGCTGGAGGACCGGTGCTGTGCTTCTAGGATCGGTCAGATTAGGTTACGACTCCTCAGGCCTGACGAACATTTCTGTTGCTCAACATCAGCCTGGAAAGAGTCCCCTTAGTTCCCCTTCCTGTCATATGTCAGCAGACCTTTGCTCTGCAGCAGGTTCCCAAACCTCTGAACTTGTTTACTTCCCTAACAAAGGCCCGGCATGAGGGAACCTCACCACCACCAAGGACAGCCCCATCTTATCGTTTTGTTTCTTGGATTAGAGAGGGCCCTGATTCCTCTGCATCCCATAAAGCAGGGGTCTCAAACTCCAGTCCTCGAGGGCCGCTGTCCTGAAACTGTTCCATGTGTAGCTGCTCCAACCTGAATACAGTTAGCAGGTCATTAGCGAGAGAATAGGACCAGACTGCACGCTGAGGCGGTAATTCTTGATTCATGTTACATAGGGCTGCCACAATCGATTATTTTGATAGTCGACTAATCAGATCATCATCCATTGGATGTAAAAGTACAGCTTATTGCACCAGCAGCATCTGCTCTTATATAACTATCATTAG